CAATTTCATCTCAATGATCACTTGACAGAATTTCTTCTGGTTAGTAAAATAACATATCTGTAAGCAGAGGAAAACAAGCTTATAGACATACGAGGATTGAATGAAAAGTAATGCCTCCACCTTCGTTGCTTCGGTTTGGATGGGAATATTTTAATAAATCAAACACAGAAATAATCCTTAGAATGTGCTCTTTAACTACCACTATTCACTTTCCACATAATCACCAGACAATTGGATACATTTCTGCCAACAATGAACAAGTTTTTTGAAGCCGTCACAGAAGAAGTTGACATTCTGTTGACATTCTGTTTCTGCAACCAGCGTCTCACAGTTCCTTACTGGCCCCTTCCGCACAGCTGAATAAAATCCCACATTATTTGCTTTGAACTGGGATAAATGGCAGTGTGAACTCAAATATTCCAAATTGATATTCTGAGTTATATAGCTGTGTGGAATGGCCCATTGCCAAATGTTTTGCATAAATACTTACAATTACTCTATGCTTTGGATTGCTGTGAGTTTTACCTTGGTGTGAGACAATGATTGTGTGTATTTGTATACATCTACTGCCCTCTGGTGGAAAATATATGCCTTGCTTTAGAACTGAGACTAGATCTACACTGCCACATAAAATCCAGACTATCTGTTTTGGATTATATGGCAATATAGACATATAGTCCAGTTCAAAATGGACAATGTGGATTATCTGCTTTGATATTCTGGATTATATGACCGTGTAGATCCATCATAAGTCTACACGACCATATAATCTAGTTCAAAGCAGATAATCTGAATTTTATATTGCAGACAAAATCCTAGGCCACTTCTACACTGCCACATAATTCAGATTATCAAAGCAGATAATCCACATCATCTGCTTTGAACTAGATTATTCAGAGTCTACACTGCCATATAATCCAGTTCATAACACATAATCTGGATTTTATATGGCAGTGCAGAAGGGGGCCTAGATAGTGTGATGTTGCTTGGCCGCACACATCCCTGTTTTCATCAGTGAAATGTTGTTGGGTATGGGAGGATATGGGATAAGTGCTGGGGCTTGGAAAGAGTAGCTGCATAAATCCACATTATCTGCTTAGAATTGCATTAAATGGCAGGGTACACTAAAATAATCCAGTTTGAATCAGATAATGTGGATTTTCTGCTTTGATAACCTGGATTATCTGGTAGGATAGAAGTGGCCAGAGATACAGAGGCATAACAACACAATCCAACATGTAAGTCTCCTGATGCAGGGCTCCATCCAATCCTTTTCATTGAAACAATATTGGTGCTGGATTAGTTCTCAAAAATTGTAATTAATAAAAGAAAGAAATTCCTTTGAAAATGATTTTCCAAACTCTGCTCATTGGTAAGTTAAAAAAATGAAATGGTTTAAGGCTGGCAGGACTGAAGGCCTATAGGTCAGAGGTTCAAATCCAGGAAGAGCACAGATGAGCTCCCTCTGTCAGCTCCAGCTCCCCATGTGGGGACATGAAAGAAGCCTCCCACAAGGATAGTAAAACATCAAAACATCCGGGCATCCCCTGGGCAATGTCTTTACAGACAGCCAATTCTCTCACACCAGAAGTGACCTGCAGTTTCTCAAGTCGCTCCTGACACAACCAAAAAAATATATCCCTGGGGATAAGGATCCCACTGTGGTATTGGATTAGGGACAATGGGTGCCGAGATGGGTCCCAGTGATGCAGACAAAAGGGTGTGAGGACAGCTGGATGAGTTTAAGGGTGCTGCCAGGCATGGTTTTTTCTGTGAGACGCAAGGATCGGTGATTCCTGTTTATTGTAAGAGGTGTAAGAAGAAATAGTGGTGCTTGGGCATATTGTGTGAAAAGGGTGAGGCAAGACCTGGGAAGAATGGCCGTGTTTATTCCTTGGAATTTTTAAGCCATGGCCAGGAGTCCTCTCCAGGTCATCCATCTGGTCCATGTTTTGGGCTCTACTGGCTGAATTTATTTCGTATCAAAAGCATTGCATAAATTAGCATAAAACTGACAAAAATAGAAGGTGTGCAGGTGGCTAAATATCTTTCGACCAAAAACAGGCAACAGCAACGGCATTGTCTGTAACCTCCAACAATTCGTCCTCTGTACACGAGGCAGGRCACAATGGAGTAGCATACAGATGCAGARTTGTTTGTTCTGCTCCACAGTCACATAAGGTGTGGGGTTCTTTTAGGTAGTGCATTTTACCAGGTTGTCTTTTGRTCTGCCCAYTCCACTTCTGAGTCTATTCAGGGACTTCCAGGTTGCCCATTCTTGGTTTGCCCCTGGAGGAAGACCCTTGTGGGGGGCCACCCAGTTGGGATTTCCTGGTTTAGCTACCCAGAGGAATACCCTTGCTGTTGCTGGGGGGATGCCAAGAGGAATKGTAGTTCTCATAAAGCTTTTCCTTGATTTGAGTCTACTGGGAGGAGGCTGGTAGCCATGTAGTGGGTGGCTTTCACAGTGTTCAACCTTATTTCTCTCACACTTAGCAGCAACTTCCCATCACACATCCGGGAAGGGGGGGTGGCAATGCCAGCTAGCTTGTAGAGTTTATCAACAGGTGTAGGTTTAAGACACCCTGTAATTATTCTGCATGTTTCATTCAATGCTATGTTCACCTGCTTTGCATGGGCAGACCTATGCCAAACATGGCAGGCATACTCGGCAGTTGAGTAAGACAAAGCTAGGGTTGATGTTCTTATTAATTTTGGGTCTGCACCCCATGTGCTGCCAATAAGCTTCCGCAGGATGTTATTGCGTGCAGCTACTTTGTGCTTGGTGTTCAAGCAGTGTGTCCTATATGCTAGTGTTCGATCTAAGGTGACACCGAGATATTTAGGATGGAAACAATGTTGAAGCTCTTGGCCTTCCTAGGTAACTTTCAATTTCCTTCACGGTTGCGTAGATGGAAAGCACATGCTTGTGTTTTGGCAGGGTTAGGCTTCAGGTGGTTATCTTTGTAGTAGCTGGAGAGATCTTTCAAAGCATTAGTAAGTTGGATTTCAACTACTTTAATAACACCAACTACTTTACTAACACCAACATGAAATGTTTAGAGACCTCTGAAATCAGTTGCTGGAAGCAGAGAAATGTAGTCACACCTGCACAAACAATTATATACCTTCAGGTGGCAGCAAAGATACAAACAAATAGGTTTCTCTATGCTACTTGTTTCCCCTTTTGGGGGCATGAAATCACCTTTAATATTTGAAGTTACTTTTATGCAAATACAATCTCCATTCTTTGTTGAAAAAACATTTGTGTGGATAATTGCATAACAGTATTAGTGCACCTCTGTCTACCAGCATTTATATACCAGCTTTGCTTAAGAAGATGGCCAATGCCCTGTCAAGACATACGAACAGAATGTGGCCATACTTAATATTCATGTGCAATAGGGAGAGGGTGGAGTGACCATGACCATGTGGCTGAAAATAATGCAAAGCATGGAACACATGATCAAAATGTACTCACATAGGGGAAGCGTAGGGCTGGTAATGCTGCTTTCACTTCGATTTAATAACAATGTGTGTTGCGCTAATGCGGACCAGGAAAATGCAAGTTGAAGCAAAATTCTTTTGCATGTTGGCAACATCTCAGTCATACACCTGTAACCCACAGATCTGTTTTTTTCTCTCTACCTAACAACTATGTAATTTCTTTAATAAATGCCATGTCCAAGATCCTAGACACCCTTAGAATTACATAATTTAGTTTACACTGAATACCACAATTCACTTTAGCTCCCTTTCCAACAAGTTATAAGTGAAGGGGGAGAGCTTCTTCATCCTTGAAGAATTATTGGCTGTGCTCAATTTCACACTCGGGCAACCTCTCTGAATGGGCAGCTATTATTCAATGGCTTTTACCCTAGAGTACTGCCTCAAAGAGGCACAATTGAGGGCGAAAAGGAGAAACGTGTTAAGAGGAAGGTGCATCAAACCAATCCTTTTCGAGACCGCCTTCCATCTGGAAATCAATGCCCTCATTGCAAAAGAACATGCAGAGCAAAAATAGGTCTCTACAGTCATGTAAGAACCCACCACTAAGATTCTACGTTTGGAAGGCAGTCATATTCAGCCATGAGTGATAGCCTATGACGATGACTGCCTCAATGGGATATAATGGTATATAATATAATAATATAATATTCAAGATATAATGGGTTCTCATCCTCAGTATGTATTCAGACCACACTGGCAATTTAATCTCAATTTAGCAACAGAATCCGTAATGGAGAGAAGTAGATTATTTCATGGAAGCTGTCCTCCAAACCTTGCCACTGCCCTAAGTTCTGCCAGTTGAAGCAGTTGCTTCATACCACCAAATGGTACGATCAGTTCTGCTGCAGCTTTTCAAGGTCTTCAACTATTTTTTATTTTAGTTTTTTGCAAAAAGTGTTGATGCTTCACCAAAGTACAAATACAGTAGAATCTCATTTATCCAACATAAACGGTCTGGCAGAACATAGGATACGCGAAAATGTTGGAAAATAAGGCGGGATTAAGGGAAAGCGTATTAAACGTCAAATCACATTATTATTTTATAAACTAAGCACCAAAGCATCATATTTTACAACAAATCAACATAATTAGTAGTTCAATACATGGTAACATTATGTAGTAATTACTGTATTTACGAATTTAGCACCAAAACATCGCAATGTATCGGAACAGCTGTGGATCTGGGCCGGAGACAGACTGCATTGAATACAGAATGTTGGATGAGAAACTCTACTGTACTAGTATTTATAGCATTGAGCCTTAGCAGTTAAAGTGGTGTCAACCTGCATTAATTCTACAATGTAGATGCATCCCACATGGGAAAGTGCCTGTTGCATGATTATAGGTCATTCAGGTTGGTGAGATGGAAAGTTATGAGTGTTTCACTCATGCCAATAAACCAGTCAGCATCACACACAAGTGCCCAAAGAACCAATAGCACATTATACACATTGTATTGTCTGTTGGTTCAAACAAGCTCCACGCACGTATTGGTCAGTAAAGAGCTTTATTACAGCATAACAACATACAGGTCTTGGCAAGGCTCTTTACAAATCTGCAGCAGGCTTTCTACTAGCTTCCTGCAAGAAATAAGAGGGAATTTTGTAGCTTCATTGTACCTAAGGAGGCAATGCAATTATTTTATGTTAACTAGATGCAATACTCCTTTGTCCAATAATGTGAGTGTTTACTTTTTGTATTGAGCCCAAATAATACCCCTATGAAAAAATATATTCTTCATAGGGGTATTATTTGTGCTCAGTGCAAAAAGTAAACACTTACACCCAAGTTTAAAGGCTTGATCTTGAATTATTTACATTGCCTCAAAAGCAGAGCATTAAAAGCATATGCTTGATTTACATTTTCTACCATTGATAAACCAGGAAACGTAGGAGATCCCAAGATGACACCTGAGGAAGAAGTTCCCAGTTATTCTCCTTATTTTATACACAGTTCCTCATTCTCCAGAAATTATTTTATTTCATTGTTATGTTTATATTCCACTTTTTTCTCAAATATTCTCAAAGTGGCCTGCACCCCCATTCTCCCGACATCTTTACAAAACCCTGAGATAAGATAGTGTTAGATTTCCCAGTGAGTTTCACAGCTCAGTTGGGATTCGAACTCAGGGCTAAAAATTCAATTTAATTGTGTTCCTTTAATAAAACACATCTTCAGGAGCTGGGGCATCTGAAGGATAATGCTTGCTTGGCTTAGGCTGAGGGGGAAGGGGGATTGTTGGTGGAACAAAAGTGGCCACTTCCTCCAAAACAGGCAGAGATGGAAAAACCTCCGTTTCACTTAGCTTTACAGATGGCTCTGCAGATGAGTCTTCAGGTGGTGAAGCTGGAGCGATTTGCAGATTTGGCTCTGGGAAAGTAGTGAAACTGGACATTCTTGCTGGGCGAGTCACAGTGTTTGCTAGTGGTTTGCTTGCACTAGGCTCCTTAGAGGATTCCAAGAGGTCCTTCAAAGCAGGCAACCAAGAGAAGAAATCATCTGGTGATGGAGGTCCAGACTCTGAGTTGGAAAAAGCTTTTATTAAGGGCTTGAGGACTCTGGCTAAGTCTGAAAATAAAAAATCATCCTCATCAACGGTCTCTGGTGTAGGTTCTTCTGCTTCATCATCTTCTTCAGCATCTCTCTTGACAATGAGTCTCACCAGGTCAAGGGCAGCATCCTCTAGTTCTTCTAGTTCATCCCAACCATCTGCGTTTCCATCTTCGGCAGTATTAGATTCTAATTCATCACTTTCCTCTGAAATCTCTTTCAAATTAATTCCTGTTTCCTCATTGGTTTCCTCTTTTCCAATATTTAGTAAGGTTGTACCCGATTCTTCTGTGACTGGTGAAACAGACGCAAAGAATTCTGGTGAATCATCAAGTGGAGTCAACCCCACCTCACTGGAATCTCCTTCGATGTCTACGTTAGTTTCCTTTGGTGCACTTGTCACACTGGCAGATGTGGCGGCAGTTGTCTCTACAGACCTGTAGACACTCATGGATGACACATCTGGGAGGAAACATAAAGGAAAAAGATTATGGTGAAACAATGGACCTATTACCAAAAGCCTGAGAACTCAATACATAAAATTCAAAAATCAGCTCATGCATTAAAGAACTTTATGCACCTTAAAAACTAACAGAGTTTTCGAAACATTTCATGTTGGTGACACACTTTTTAGACATGCATCATTTGGTATTGCATTTATCAGTTTTACTAACAGACTAGAGAATGAATTAACCCTTTATAAGAGATATATAATAATAATTATAATAATAATAATAATAATAATAATAATAATAATAATAATAATCTTGCATTGTCGAAGCCTTTCACGGCCGGAATCACTGGGTTGTTGTAGGTTTTTTCAGGCTATATAGCCATATAGCCCAAAAAAACCTACAACAACCCAATAATAATCTTTATTTATACCCTGTCACCATCTCTCCAAAAGGGATTTGGGGCGGCTTACATGAGGCCAAGCCCAATAATACATAACAGCAAAATATAGAACAGCAAAAAAATTAATCACAATAAAAAAGTAAGACAGAAAAGTAAATAAACAGAACAAAGTAATAAGGTGGGAAAAACCAATCACAATGGGCGGGCCAGATGTACATAAAATGATAAAACACTGGATGAGATAGAAATGACCAAAATATAAGTACTCTTAAGAACTTGAAGGGGGTAGAACAGTGGAAATAGACCTTCTGCAAAATGGGGGAGTGCAATATGAGGACATATTATGGGAGAGACAACAGGAAAGCAGTATATGGTCACTCTCCAAAGGCACATCGGAAGAGCCAGGTTATCCATCCTGGTGAAATGTATCTCTCATAAAACCTTTCATTTATATATTTTAAAATATATGATTTATTGCTTATTTAACATGGACTCAGAGGTTTCTTATTATGTTTGCACGACACACCTACACACTGCAGCTGACACATAAATGTGCTGCAACACACAGTTTGGAAAGATCTGGACGAACATATTTGTAATGCATACATTTCTGTTGACCAAAACTCACTTCATCAGAATGCACAGAATTATCCTTATGAGTTGGAACATAAATAGACTCGTAGTTGTTAGGAGAAATGGGAAATTTTAGTTGTGAAATCAAAAGAGGAATAAACATGATATTTACATTTGAGCTCCAATAGATGCCAAATTATTACAGTGAGCACTTACAAAGCGGTGTTAATAAAATACTGGAACTAGTAGTGCAATTGATAATTGTAGCGTAATTTTAAAAAACTGTACTTATAAGTTGTTGATAACTTTCTGGTCCCAGTTCAAGGTGCAGATTATTATCTACAAAGCCCTAAACGGTTCAGGTCCAGACTATCTTTGCTATCGTATCTTCCCCTATGAACCAGCATGAGCTCTAAGATCTACCAGGGAGACCCTTCTCTTGCTCCCATTTCTGTCACAAGTGTGGTTGATGGGGATGAGAGAGAGGGTCTTCTTGGTGGTAGTCCCTCAGGCTCTAGAACTCTCTCCCCAGAGAGATTAGATTAGCACCTATCTTGTCCACTTTCCGTAAAGACCTAAAGACTTGGATGTTCCAATGTGCTTTTGATTAATCCCCAGCCACAACTTAATACTGGGCTATGCACTTTATTATTATCTCTCCCCTTGCAGTGTATTGTTCTAATTTCATCTGGCCCTTCTAGCCCTATCAGGCCGCTGGCACTTGCATTTGTTATGAGCCCCGTTCATGTAGTTGCATGCACAAGCCCTTGCCTCGCCCTTTAGTTCTGAACATGTCCACTATGCTCGGTCACTGATTGTTGATTATGATGTTTATGTTTTTAATGATATTTTTATATGTATTTTTATTGTGTCATGTTTTCAATTGTATTTGACTGAGCTTGGTCTCCTTGTAAGCCCTTCAGGGACGTGGTGGTGGGATACAGAAATAAAGTTGTTGTTGTTATTATTATTATTATTATTACTTTTTATATAACAGCCACCTTAAAGCCAACAACAAGAGACTGAAATGTTGTTGCACTGATTTCTAAATCTGGAAGTTCTGATGTCTGATTAATCTCCAAGAAGAATGATTTTGCTTGGAGTGATTGCTGGAAGATCTGCAGATAACAGGAAAAAGGAACAGAGTGGTCCTCCAGGTGTTTTAAACTGTAAATTCCATCAACACTAACCAGTGTTGAGGCATGATGGAAGTTATAACCCAAAAATATCTACAGAGACACAGCTATCTTGCCGTGGCATAGAACAAACCAATGAATCTTCTAGCACAATAATACATCTGCATATCTATTTCTTGCACACATTTTCCTGTTAAGTAACTGCCAACCTTTCTTTTCCCCTTCCTATATTCATGCCATTTCAAATGATATTCTGTGCACAAAATGAAGTGGGCTCAAGGCTGCAAGGACTTGGCAAAATAAAGAAATATTTAACCTTTCATGAAACACATATAAATATTCTCCTGAGTCCTTAAGAACTTTTTGTATTCCTGATAGAGCAAAACATTCATGAAAAGAAGCAGCATTAACTTTGTTGATCAAAAAACAAACCATTTTAAACAGAGGCTGGATGGCCATCTGTTGGGGGTGCTTTGAATGCGATTGTTCTGCTTCTTGGCAGGGGGTTGCACTGGGTGGCCCACAAGGTCTCTTCCAACTCTATGATTCTATGACAGGCCACACAGAAACAAAGGAATTTGGTTTTACACTGAACTTGGAAAAGTGGCGTCTTGGACTACAACTCCCACAATCTGCTAGCTAGCATAGTCATGTTGGGAGTTGTTTTGACCCTGCAAAGTAATTTTTTAAAGCTCTGGTTCTATCCCATGTGATTTCTCAGAACATGCAAACTGGCTCCACCTAAGGCGTTGCACCTGTTGACACACAAGATGCACAGTCCACACACCAGCGAATTGCATCCATGTGACTGTTTGCATCATGACCCTATTCATAAAGCATAGGACAGGTGACAACACTGCCATATCCACCTCTCCTCACGTGGGTCCCTGCTATTCCTGTTCAACAGATAGGAAGCGTGGGCTGAGAGAGAAGCTGCAACAAGTCCACGATCCTTACATTCTTCCTCCCACTCACTGAATTCTTAGTAAAGCTGGGTTTGTTGGAACTAGGCTGCTGACTCTTAAATCAAAGTTTGGCCTATGCTGTCCATCAATTCTCTTTGATGATTTCTAGATCCAGAACAGTTTCAAACTCTTTAGGAAATTAGATGGGATTAACCTCAATATCCCAATTTACTAAATTACGCCGACACCAATTGACAGCTATCTTGTACTCTATGAGCAACAACACTGTGTAATCCTGTATGCTTTTGCAACAAAATTTCCTGGCAGGGACCCAATGCATATCACACAGATGTGAAAGAAACAGCTGCTCGGTGTGTTTGCATATCACACCATACTATCAGCAGACTTGGAAAGACTGCTGAAGGAAATAAGAAAGAAAGTGCAAAGGCAAGTTTCAAGTTCAATATTAAGAGAGAGAAAATAACAACCACAGATGTTTTAAGTAGATGATGAAGACACTGAAGTAGTTCAAGATATTCCAAATCTTGTCAGGAGCGACTTGAGAAACTGCAAATTGCTTCTGGCGTGAGAGAATTGGTCATCTGCAAGGACATTGCCCAGGGGATGCCCAGATGTTTTGATGTTTTACCATCCTTGTGGGAGGCTTCTTTCATGTCCCCACATGGGGAGCTGGAGCTGACAGAGGGAGCTCAACCCGCTCTCTCTGGATTTGAACCACTAGCCTATTGGTCAGCAGTCCTGCTGGCACAAGGGTTTAACCCACTGCGTCATCAGGGGCTCAGTCACTAATCAGAATGGAGACTGCTGAGAAAAATCAGAAGACAACTAGGACTTGGAAGGGCAACTATGAAGGAACTACCTGAGATTCAGGTGTGTAAAGATTTAATACTAAAGTTATGATGATCCATGCAATCGTATTTCCCAGTTCATAGAATCCTAGAGTTGGAAGAGACCTCATGGGCCATCCAGTCCAATCGCCTGCCAAGAAGCTTGAAAATTGTATTCACAGCACTCCCGACAGATGGCCATCCAGCCTCTGTTTAAAAGCCTCCAAAGAAGGAGCCTCCACCACACCCTGGGGAGTGTGGTGGAATACAGAGAGTTCCACTGCTGAACAGCTCTCACAGTCAGGAAGTTCTTCCTAATGTTCAGATGAAATCTCCTTTCTTGTAGTTTGAAGCCATTGTTCTGCGTCCTAGTCTCCAGGGCAGCAGAAAACAAGCCTTTATCTAAGTAATTAATAAAGATCCTGAACAGGACCGGACCCAGGAAGGAACTCTGTTTCTGGCACTCCACTCGTCACTTCTTTCCAGGATGAAGAGGAAGCATTGGGGAGAATCACCCTCTGGGTTCGTCCGCTTAACCAATTACAGATCTACCTTACCATAGTTTTGCCTAGCCCACATTGGACTAGTTTCCTTGCCAGAAGGTCATTGGGGACTTTCTCGAATGTCCGATTGAAATCCAGGTACGCTACATCCACGGCATTCTCCGCATCTACCCAGCTTGTAACTCCATTGAAAAAAGAGATCAGATTAGTCTGGCATGACTTGTTTTTGATAAATCCGTGTTGACTATTAGCGATGACCACATTTGTTTCGCTAATAGTCAATACAGATTTATCAAAAACAAGTCATGCCAGACTATGTATGTTTGTGAAAGCTAGACAGTGAAGGAAGCTAATAGGAAGGAAATGAAGCCATTTTAATTGTTGTACTTGGAAAAGGTTATATGGATACTGTGAACTGCTGGAGAGAGAAAAAGAAACAAATAAGTAGGTCCTTGAGTAACTCAAGCTTGAATTCTCCCTAGAAGCCAAAATGATGAAACTATGGTTAGGCAAGTTCAGAGGGGGGTTTCACAATAGTCCACCTTCTGCATCTTATGCTTTGCCAAACTATTTGTTTCAGGATTTGTCTGAGCAGCGTAGAGGTCAGTTAGGGGCCATGAAAGAAGTCTCGTTGGATTGTGG